CCTGCACACATCCTCCCTATACATCCCCTTTCCTCCCCCACTGGGTGCTCTGCCAGCCGCCTGCCACTCCCTTCACCCCTCCTCAGCCAGCAGAGCCAGGAGCTCCTGGTATCACATTTTTGGATGCCATGCTGTGCCCGCCCCCGCCCCCTCCCTTCTGTCTCTCACACTTGCTCCATGCTGTAATGGAGCCCCGCAGGCTGTCACAGGAGATATGAAGCGTGAAAACTCTTCCTTGTGAAGCCCGGGACAGTGCTAATTAATCTGCCAGCGTGCCCTCCGCCTGCCACCCCCCAGCCTCCTCAGTGCCACATGTCACTGCAAAGCCTGGCACAGGGCAGTGGAAGGAGCATGCCCTCCTCTCTGTGTCGTCCCTTCTGCCTGTAGGGCTGTGTGAGGTTCCCCTCCATGGTAGGGAATCCAGAGGGCAGCCCCCACACTCACATCACCTGAGCCCCCAGAGGGAACTTCAGAAAGCATCCACTTTCCTCCTCCATCCTTTCCTGTCTCTCTCTCTCTCCCCCTGCAGATCTGTCAGGTCAGTGTCTAGCTTGTCCCCCTCCACGACCCCCTCACCTATCCACATGGAGTCCTGGGCACAGACGTCTTGTCAGCATAAGAAGACACTGAACTTCAGTTCTTGGCTCCATGCGTGCCTGAAAGGGTGTGACCCAGCCAGATTACTGAGGGAGCTGCTGTAATAGCTACCCAAAACTCCCCCATCTTGGGCAGGGCTTGCTCTTTGTCACCCTACATTTGGAGAGGGTCCTGGCATGGGGACCCTACAGCTGAGATTCCCATTGGAGCCTTGCACAGGCTTGGAGAAGAGGCAATACAACTTTGGAATCCAGCATGTGAGCCAACAATATGAGCCAAACATGTGCTCTTGATGCAAAAAAAGTCAGCAGTGTCCTGAGTTGTACTATCAGGAGCATCACTTGTAAACAAAGGAAGCGATTTTTCTACTTTATTTGGCACTGATGAGGCCTCACCTGGATTAATGGGTCCAGGTCTGGATCTCACACTTCAAGAAGGATGTGGATAGATTGGAAAGAGTCCAGCAGAGTGACAAAAATTATTAGAGGTCTTGGAAACATGGCTTATGAGAAAAGTCTGAAAGAATAGGGTTATTTAGTTCGGAGAAGAGAAGACTGAGCGGGGATCTGATCATAGAATAATAGAAAATTAGGATTAGAAGGGACCTCAGGAAATCATCTAGTCCAATCCCCTGCTCAAAGCAGGACCGTCCCCAACTAGAACAGGCTTCAAATAACTGACGGGTAATTACAGAACAGATGGAGATGGACTTTCCTCTGTGGCTGTACGGGACAAGACGAGGAACAGTGGCCTCAAGATTCAGCGGTGGAAACTTAGGTTGAAGATTAGGAGGAGCTTTCTGACTAGGGTGATGTTCAGGTATTGGAATAGGCTGGAAATTTTCAAAAGCAGGTTGGACAGACTGACTGGGATGGTTTAATCAGGGATCATTCTGCCTTGGGTAGGGGGCTGAACTAGATGACCTCATTAAGCCTGCCAGCCCTACTTTCCTATTATTTTATATGGTACATGCTCTTCAGAAGCCTTGGGGGGAACTGGATGGAGCTTCCCAGGAGTCTTCTGAATGCCTTAGATTTTCCTGCCCCACTGTCTTCACCAATACAGGGCACGTCTACACGTCACCATATGGCGATGTTGTTACTGTGCCATGCTTTAGTAGTTCCTTTTGGAGCCACTGTATGCTATAAGCAGGGAGCGTGCTGCTATGGTGATGTAGCTGGTGCTCATGTGTAGACCGTGTGATTGCTACACCACCGTAGTGCACCATACAGCAGCATAGCTCATCGCTATGTCACTGTAGGGCGATGTGTAAATGCACCCACAGACTGCAGTAGGAGGAGGTGGCTGTGTAGAGGAAGAGTATCAGGAAGGGATTGGTATGCCCCTCCAGGGCCAGGGCTAGCTTAGTGCTCAGATGCCCTGGCTTCCAGCCCCAGCTCAATCTACCTAGCAGTGCTGTGCCTTGGGGTAAGTCACCTTCTGCTACCCTTGGGCAGTTCCATCTTTGGTGTCTGTACAGCACCTGCTTGGTTGGGGCTTGCTCTCAATTGGGACCGGGGTCATATGTCATGCTGTGTCCATGCAGCTCCGAGTGTACATAGGCCTTTTGACTTGGTGGTGGTCTCAATAGGTCTCTGGCAAATCAGTAATACTGTAATTGTGTTCAGCTGCCCTGGTTGGGGTGATGCTTCTGAAAGGGCCTTTTCCTTGTGGTTTGGCTTTGTCACAAGAGTCAATAGCGGTGAGCACAGCCATGGGTACTGCTGGCACCTGGAATGAACTTGAAACTGGCATGAGAACTGTGGGAGTCAATGCCAAGGCAGCTAAAGGAAGCTTTTCAGGCTTCATTATCCCTAACCAGTGCCATGGGGGGAGGGGGAAGTTAGTAAGAGCCCTGAGCAAGAGACAAGAGGAATTTTCTTCAGAGCTGTTCCCTTCACCCACCTCATGCTCCAGGTGCCCTCCTGGCTGCCATGGCCTGGGCAATGGATGGATAATGGGGGCCCAGCTGCTAACAAGGAAGGTAGCATCCACCCCTTGTGTGCGTCTTAGCCTACCCTTCCCACACGGGCACTGCCCACCTGGTCTCAGAGCCAGCCTTCTTCAGGGCAAGAGCTCTCATCGGGCTGGGCATGGGGCTCCTTGCCTTAGGTCTTCTCTCCAGGGCAGGGTCAGGGCCTGTTGCCCAGCTGGGTTATGCTTCCCAGCCAGTTTCCCTCCTGCCCCACATAAGAGGGAGGGAGGGACATGAGAAATGTGAGGGGGGTGCATTAGGAATGGATTTAGCCCCTTGGTCCTTGCTTGAGGGAGTTAGCTCATGAATTCCCGGCTCTTCAGCTGGGTGGTTGAATGCCACAATCGTGGTATTAGTGCCTGGATGGATGGATGGATGGATGGATGGATGGAGAGATCCCACCATCTAATCTGTCTGACAGGCTGCCAGAGCCCCAGAGCATCTGTGCTAGTCTCTGCCTAGTCAGTGCTGGATGCTGTTTGCTTTTCTCCCCGGATCAGGATGCTCAAGGCCTGCTGGGGTGGGCACCAAGGCAGGCCTACCAGGATCCAGTGCATTTGCTAGGTTTAGGTAGGGCCTGAGTGTGTGAAGGGAACAGGCACTGCAGCGGGAGTGGGAGGGGGGTTACACCCCCCTCATCCCTGAGGGACCTGACCAAAGATCAGCAGTGGGACAATGTAGAAGCTGATAGCTCATGCCTCCCCTGCCTCCTGCAGAAGGACTCACACCCTTTCCCATCCTCAACCCCTGGGGGCTGTCACCTCCTTCTGCTCCTGCTAACTCCCCAACTTCACAGCCCTTTCACCCCTCCTGCCTTCTTCTCCCTTTCCCATCTCCCTTCTTTCTTTTCTCTCCCTCCTTCCCTCCCAGCTCCTTCTCTTATCCCCAACCATCTCTAGCTCTGCTTCTCCCCCTTCTTCCTGTCTTGTGGGCCCCTTGTCCCTGGTGACAGGTCCCCGCAGTTTGGCCCTAGATGTGCTGGGTATGGTGGCCTGGAACTGGGGGGGTGTTTCCTAGCAAACCCAAGCCCCCATCTAAACAGCTGCTGAGCCACTGACCTGGGGCCACCCTGCTACCAGCTCCGGGAGCCCCACCAGGGTTTCATGGGCCCTGGAGCCCAGGGGCTGCAGGACTCACAGTTCCAGGGCCAGGCAGGCATGTCCCTCCAGGGAGGCACTCCCATTCCTGTTGTAATTACAGACATGGGTCCTCTAGCCATCAGGGAGCAGGTCACCTCATAGTTTATTCATGATTACACGGGTTATTGGTAACCAGAGATGTGGTGCATTCAGAGGGCAGGTCCCACCTGGGAGATCTGCTGCTGTGAACTCACATAGGCCCCTGGCTTGGAGTCTGGGGTTCTGGTGTCACATGTATTATGCTGAAGGCGAAAATGGTGAGAGAACTATCTGCCCTGGGAACTTATCTGACTCCCAATAGCTATGGCATGATGCAGTAGAGGCCAGTTGCTAGAGCCCTGGATTAGCCCTCAAGGCACATAGGTTCTCCTCTCACCTTTGTCTGGATCTGTGTGCAAGTCTTTTTCTTGCCTTGTCCATTCAGTACGTGAAGGCAGGGGTTGGCTCTCACTGTGTTTGGGCAGTGCCTAGGCACTGAGCTGAGCAGGCACTGTCCTCCATTATGCACACACTGACACTATGGGGGTCTGAATTAGCTCAGGCCCTGGAAGTCCTACTGTTATCACTACAGTAAGAGAGGGCTTATGCATCCGTGGGCCTGTGTGGGAAGGGGAGGTCAGAACCTGAGCGGGGGAACATCCACCTGCTGTGTGAGGGACTTGGAGAGCTCAGGGTTTGGCTTTATTTCTACACCTGAAAATGCCTCTACTTTCCACAAGCAAAGTTTTCTGGGAAAAACAAAATTAGCTGGGGAACAAAATCCCATTTCCAGCAGAGAAGCTGGAAGGCTTTGCCACCCAAACAGACTGTTTTGACGCTGACGGGATGTTTTCCCCCTGGGCTCGTGGAATGTTTCCATTGCAATGGAGGATGGCTCCATCGTGGTGCTTCCAGCTGGCTCTAGTCATTAACCTTCCCTTACAGACCTGGACCCACATCTCCTTATACCAGCCTCGTGCACCAACCCCAGCCTCATCTGACAAGCTCAGGCTCCCACCAGGTGGCCAGAATGACACTTCAGTCCCTATCACATAGGAGTACTTCACTTTCATGGGGAACATGGAAGTCCCCTTCACCTCTGCTGCCCTTGCATTAGAGAGATGTCCCAGCTCTCACGAGGCTGCGTACAGGGGGCACATGCTGAGCTGCTTCATGGCAGCTCCTCTCCAGCTGTGGGGGATGTATAAGTGGGCCTGTCTCTTGGGTGGTCCCTCACTAGTGCCCCTTATACCCCGAGCTCCTCCCTTACCTGAGTCTCTCCTGACTTTACCCTTTTTCCCTGCTTCCAGGTCTTCAGCACCTACTCCAATGAGGATTATGACCGCCGGAACGAGGATGTGGACCCCATGGCTGCTTCAGCAGAGTATGAGCTGGAGAAGCGGGTGGAGCGACTAGACCTGTTCCCTGTGGAGCTGGAGAAAGGTATGGAGTGGGGGTCTGGCTCTGGTGGAGGTGACACTAGGAAGGCTGAGGGCTTGGTCCTTGGGGTCCTAGTCCCTGTGGTGGGGGAGGATAGGGATGGTTTTAAGCCATCCTAGTGCTGCCCCTGCTTTGAGTCTGTCCAATGCCACATGCATCCCAGGGGGTAACCCAGAGTGTGACATGATGTGCCCTAGGGTAGGTCAGGCATAGAGCCCTCACCCCAGGCAGGGGGGCCCCTTGGGCTCCTTGCAGCCCATTTAAGGCCCCTTTGTACAGGCAGAGGTGCAGTGAAAGGGCTCAAGTGTGCTGGGAATCAAGACCTGAGAACCCCCTCACACCATCTGTCTATGTACACACAGTTCCACCCAGCCCACGGGTGCAGCTGGCCCCCACTGTGTCCCTCACTCACAGCCTGATTCCTTCACACCAGCTGCTACACACATGCAGCTCCGCCTGGCCTGTGAGCACAGCCGGTTCCTCACAGTCACACTTGCACACTCATCCCCCCACACCACCTGCTGTTGCACAGCTCTGACCAGCCCACAGGCGCAGCTGGCTCCCTTGACACTCACACACTCATCCCTTCACACTGCCTCCTGAATCTGCGCAGCTCCACTTGGACTCGGGCACAGTCGGTCCCTCATGAAACCCCACACTTCCATTCACACACACAGCCCCTCACATTGCCTGCTTGGGCAGCACAGCTCCATCCAGCCCATGGGCACAGCTGGTCCTCCCATGCCTACCACTCTCACACTCTACTTACACACATAGCCCCTCACACCACCTGCTGCACACACAGGTCTGCCCAGCCCACAGCCACAACAGGCCTCCCCTCTTCCCACTGAACTTGCCCTTGTTCTTTTACATGACTTGCCAACACATTTACAGCTCTGCCTGCCCTGTGGGTGTAGCCAGCCCACCTGGGCACCCCCTCTTCACCCCTACATTCCTCCAAGCTGCCAGATCCTTCCACACACTCATTTGCAATCCTCCACTCAAATGCGTGCTCCATGCCATCCCCATGCACGCTTCATCTGCCACCAGACATTCACACGTCCCTGCATGTTAATGCACACATATCTGAACACAGGTACATGCGCCTGCCACTTCAGGCAGGCACAGTGACTCATGCATATGCAATGGTGCATGCATGCACACACACCTGTCTGCCTGCCTGTTCACATGTCTCCCCCTGAACACTTATTTTTACATGCACCTGCATATCCACACATACCTATTCCTGCACACTTCTTCGTCAAATAGCTGCAAATGCACAGCTTGTGTGAGAGGCTCATGGGTAGCCCAGTGAGGGTACCTGCCCCATAGGCAGCAGCTGTTACTAAAGCAAAGAGGCCGCATGGGAAAAAGAGACAGGGTATTGGAAAGCTGTTTTTGGGTGCTTTGGGGCTGGGGAGGAATCTGATGGGGAGAAGGTAGGAGTAATCATGGGACTGAGATGCTAGAGCCTGGGAGGAAGATGAGCTCTGGAGGGTCCTAGAGGACACAGGAAATGCAGCTTTCCCCACGTAGAGGGGCCTGTGTCTTTCAATGCAAGGGCTCTGAGAGTGAGGGAGCAAGGGTGAAGGGTGCTGGTATTACTAAGGGCACCTGTAGGTAAGACCCTGCTGGGCTAGAGCAGCTGCTGAGTTCCTGGGAGCTGAGACAAGCACATGTGCAGCACATGGTACCTGAAGGAGCACAATACTGACGGGCAGGAAGCCAGGCCCTTCTCTGAAGTGTTGCCTGGGACTGGGGGCAGACACAGGTCTGATGGGCTACGGTTTGGACCCGTGTGACATGAGGTGAGACATGCTATCAAAGGGGTGCACCAGGCACTTCATTGCATGTACTACTCTGGGAGCTCAGGGAGACAGCAGAGATAAGGGCCCCTCTGCAAGGCACTGACTGTTCACATAGAGAGAGACGGCCCCTGTCCTAGAAAGCCTCCAGCCTGAAGAATAGGGAGGGGAGGGGACATGTAGGTTTAGTCAACGCCCTGCTGCTGAAGCAGAGGACAGGGGACCAGAGGGGGCCTCCAGGGTCAGCTAGCCCCCTCCCTGCTTTCGCTGGAACCACCTGATCCATCTGCCACCAGCAGGGTTCTTCGCCCCTGCAATTGGCTGGGGGGCTGCCCCAGTGTTTCCCTTGTCTGAAGCTCAGGGGCCCCCTCCTGATCACCAGCCTGGCTTTATCCCTAACCTCTTTGCCCCCCCTGCCCACACAGTCCCTGAACATAAACTGTTTTTCCCACACTGGGCCCTTCCCCACCACCCCCCACTCAGCCTTCCTTCTGCCAGTTGAGGCTGCACCACTCTGAATACAGAGGAACGAGCTCAGACTGGACCTGGGCTCTGACTTGCTTCAGCAGGGGGTGGTGATCTGGGTCTGGAGCAGCAAAGCAGCCTAGCTAGGTGATGCTGCCATGCCCATGGGAGTGATCCAGTCCTGCCTGGCCAGGGCGCTTGCCTTCACGCTGGCTCATTGGCTCCACTTCCTCTTGCTCTCTCACGCTGTCATTTCT